GACAGGTGCATCTGGGTGGCAGAGTCCATCCGTGCCAAGCACTGGCTCTGGGTTTGATCCACAACACTGACCAAGGGTGGGGGGGAAAATCAATAAGAAAACAGAAGACTTCAATAACATTACGGGTACAGGACTAAGAGACACATACAGAATATTGAACCCAAAAATAGAAAATACATTTTTTTCCTCAAGAACACATAATGTTTTCCCAGATTAGGTCACAAGTTAAGACAAGAAAATTAAGAAGACTAAAATCATATGGAATGTCTTTTCTAACTTTAGTGGTATGAAACTAGAAATCAATATCAAGATGAACAAGTGAAATTCACAATTATGTGGAAATCAAACAGACTCCTGGCACACAAAGTGTGTCAAAGACAAAAGTGAAAGAACCAAACCAAAAACCAGAAAGAAACAAAGAAAGAAAGAGTGAGCGAGCAACATACTAAAATGGGATTCAGGAAGAGCAGTATTGAGACACATACAGTGACAAATGATTACACTAAAAAGGAATGATCTCTAGCTGGGCATAGCACATGCCTGCAATTTCAGTTATACGGGAAGCTAAGGCAGGAGAATCACAAGTTAGAGCACAGCTAGAGCAACTTAGAGAAAACCTGCCCCCCACATCAAAAAGTCTCACAACTAAACTTTATACATTGAGGAACTGAGAAAAGGACAAAGTTCAAAGGTAGCAGAAGACAGGAAATAAAAAATTAGAGAACAGAGAAGAAAATTACAACATAAAACATCAAGGAAATGAATGTTTTTTTAAAAAGTTAACCATGATTGACAGATCTTTAGGTAGACTAAGAAAAAAAGGAAAAACAGAATGAAAGAAGATATGTAAGAGTTTATGTTATAGAAATAAAAAAAAAAAATCATGGCATTTATATGCCAACAAATTGAGCCTAGAGAAAAATGCATACATTTCTATAAACATACAACCTACTAAGACTGATTCAAGAGGAGGGAACATTTCCAAACTCATTTCACAAGGCCAGCATTACCCTGATACCAAGCCAGAAAAAATCACACACCAGTATACTTGGTATATTGTGTATGTCACAATTTTCCAAAAATTATAAGAAACTGAATTCAACAAGACATTTCAAGGGTCATACACTATGATCAAGAGGGCTTTATCCCTTGGATACAAGGATGGCTGAGTTGATCTAGATCATAAATGTGAAATATCACATTCACAGAACCAAAGGACAATAGATGCAGAAAAAATATTTGACAAAATCCAGTATCACTTCACGATGGAAACCATTTCACAAATTAGTGATGGAAGGAATGTACATTAATAAAGGGCATATATGGGACCCAGCCAGCTAATATATCACTGGTAAAATCAGAAGTTTTCTCTAAACCAGGAACAAGAGAAAGGTATCCTCTCCTGTCACTTTTATTCAACATGGTACTGAAAGCACCATCTAGAACAACTACGTAAGAAAAAAAAAATAAAGGCCTCCAAATTGGAAAAGAAAAAGAAAAACAGGCTGGTGAGATAGCTCAGCAGTCTAACTGCCTGCCTGGCAAACACAAGGACCTGAGTTCAATCCCTGGGACCACGTGCCTGCCTGGGATCACGTGCCGTCCGGGGCATGGCGGCACATGCCTGTAATCTCAGCGCAGGGAGGCTGAGACAGGAAGATCACTGTAAGTCTGAGCTGCATAGTGAGACTCTGCACTAAATAAATAAACAATTTTAAAAAAGAAGAAAAAAATTATCTATTATAGATGATATAATCTTATATATCAAAAAACTGTGAAGACTTCAGAAAAAATAAATGAATTCAGTAGGTATATAGAGTACAAAATCAAAGTACAAAAATAAGTCATATTTCTGTGGACTAACAATGAATCAACCATAAAGGAATTAAGAAAACAATCCCCTTTGGGGCCTGGCCAAAAAGTTTAGCGGATTAAAGCTCCTGCAAGCAGAGGAAGGGACTAGGGGTTCGATCCCCAGGCCTGCAGTGCCCGCCCCCACCCTGGGGCCCGCCCCGAACCTGGGCGTGGTGGTACACGCCTGTAATCCCAGCTCTTGAGAGGCTGTAAACAGGTGGATCACTACAAGTCCGATCTAAGAATGAGACCCTGAACAACCTGTAGACCCTTCCCTAAAATACAAAAAACAAAACAAAACAAAAATCCCTTTTGGTATAGCGTCAAAACAAGGGCTAGGGAGATAGCTCAGAAGAATAAGCACTTCCCTGGCAAGCGCAAAGGCCTGAGTTCAGTCCCGGGTTCCGCAAAACCCAAAAAACATTTTGGAAGATTTAGGAATAAATTTAACTAGAGTTGAAAGACTTCTACCTTGAAACTATAAAATACAGATTAAAAATTAAAGCAGACACATATTAATGAAGAGATATTCTGTGTTTGTGCACTAAAATAATTCATCTTTTTAAAAGGCTCAGCCTACCCAAAGCAATAGATTCAACACAGTATCCTGAAGAGCCCCTTTTTATTTTTCATATTTTCTACATTTCCTATCTTTTTCTCTTGGTCTACTCCTTTACTATAAAGCTTACTCTATACATGTTGCATATTTAATTCCATACATTTTTCCAAGAAAGAATAGGTAAGAAGTACATTTTTCCTTGACACTTTGAAATAGGTGAAACGTATTTATTTTACTTTTATACCTAGTTAATGATTTGGTTAGGGATAATCATCCTAATTTGAATATAACTTTCTTTCAGAGAATTTGAAGGCATTACCTACATTATTAGCTTCTAGCAGTGCTTCAGAGAGATCTAAAACTATTCTGACTCCTGACCCCTCACTGATGATCTGGTCAATTCCATGATGGTGTAGGTGTATTTTTATCACTGTACAATATATCTGGTACTCGTGGAACATGGTCAGTCTGGAAACTGACTCTTCTGGAATTCAATGTGAAGTACTTCCTGGACTGCCACTTCAATTTTTTCTTCCCTCCACACTTTTTTTTGGTTCTTCTTAGATTGCAAATTTTATTTCTCAATTCTATCTTAAATTGTTCATATCATGTTAAATTTCCAAATACTCTTTTTTTTCCCTCTTTTTGTACGGGGAATCAAATTCAGGACATCACACTTGGTGGACAGGCACTGTACTGCTGAGCTATAGCACCAGTCTTAAATATTCTTTGTTTGGATCATTTTTATAGTACCAAACTCATGCTTCCTGAGTGATTTTTGTTATATTTTCTTCATCATACGAAGCCTACACCCTTCAAGTTGATTGTGTTTGCTTTGGTATATATACACCGTCATGTGCTAAATAATGATACTCTTATAGCCTGGGTGTGCAGGAGGCCGGACTATCTAGTCTATATTAAGTCTAAATCCCACTCGTTTGCAGAATGACAAAATTGCTCAAGATGTATTTCTCAGAATGTCTCCCTTTATTAATGACACATACCTATATTTCACATAAGACTCCTTAAAATCTTGTGATTCAAGACTGTATAAAAGCTGATTAGAACCTCTGAGCAAATGATATTTGAAACACTGGATTCCTCTGGTAATCTGGCTAGATTATGTTCTTGAAGAATTCCTGCTGTCATATTTTTTTATTTTTTTCTGTATTGTGAGGGAAGGGTCTACAGGGTGTTCGGGTCTCACTAATAGATCACACTTGTAGTGATTCTCCTATTTATAGTCTCCCAAGAGTTGGGATCACAGGGGAGCCACCATGCCCAGTCTTAACGGCCCTCTCAGCGTGCCCCAGGGACGGGGCCAGCATGGCAGGTCCATGCTGTCAGATTCTTAAGGTCTTTCTTCTTAAATTGGTCAGACTTCACAGAGTTGAATCTGCTAATCTGCTAGAGTGATAAATGCCTAGGACCCAAATAGATGAAGAGGACTGCAAAGTTGTCAGAAATCTGTACCTGATATTTTGTTTACTCCTTGTTTTCAGTCACGCAAGTTGTGGTCCAAAGACCTTTTTAAAAATCCTGTTTAGAAAATAAAACCTTCAGTTGTCAAATGGAGTGATGAAGAAAGCCATTTGGCTTCAGGGAGTAGGTGAAGGGAATTAACATCTAAATCCTTAAGACTAATTTTCCTGTTTTTAGCCTCATTATTATTGAGAGATAAACATGAATACTGATTATCATACCATATGGTTAGGGGGGGTTTCAGAGTGCATATTAGGGTACTTTTCAGCATACCACACTATTAAAGGATGGAACTTCACCTATGTTTCACAATTACTTATGTCTTAGAATTTGTAAAGCTTGACACCAGTTAGGACTTCTGATATTCATGGGTATGATCTGACAATGCATTCTTTGTCTCATCCCACAAGGAAGCTGAGGTTCAGAGAGATTAATGGACTTACTGAAAGTTATATACTAGAAGAATGGTCAAATGGGGGCTAGAAACCAAGTCTTAAATCAGACTCTATAAACTATATGACACATCCTAGTATAATGAGAAAAAAACAACAAAAAAGCAAAATATAGGCTGTGCATCAAAAGGAGACATCCTTCCTGTCTGTATCTCTGATCAGTATTTATTCTTAGGCAAATTACTTATCATGTAGAAACCCATTTTTTAGGGAAGGGTCTACAGGTTGTTCAGGGTCTCACTACTAGATCAGACTTGTAGTGATCCGCCTGTTTACAGCCTCCCAAGAGCTGGGATTATAGGCACATGCCACCATGCCCAGTCTCAACTGTTGTCTCAGCATGTCCCAGGGGCAGGGCCTGCATGGCAGGCCTGGGGATCGAACCCCTGGTCACTGCGCCTGCTTGCAGGTGCTTTAATCCACTGAGCTATTTGGCCAGCCCCTTAAGCAGTAATTCTTACACAAAATAACTATCTTAATGATTAGTATGATACATAAGCATGACACACAATAGAACATTTAAGAAAACAATTTATTTTTTATTGTTACCGGGGATCAAACTTACCACCTTGAGCTTACCAGGCAGGCACTATGCTGCTGAGCTATATATATGACATATTTTTAAAGAATGGAAGAAGAAAAATATCGCTTACTTTTTTCCTGTAATGCCTGTAATTTATTTAACTCTTCATTCTCTTCATCACTGTCTTCACTGCTTGTACTGCTGACATCCAGAACTATATCCCTTTTGGGGTCTACTCGGAGAAAATTGCGGCATTCGAAGGTCAGATGACCAGCTAAGTAAAACAAACAGAGACGTGAACAATAAAGCTATAGACAGAGTGTTTTAGGGGCTGGGGAGATAGATCAGTAGAATAAGCACTTGCCTGGCAAGTGCAAGGGCCTGAGTTCAATCCCTGGTTCCACAAGGAAAAAAAAAGATTTTGTTTTTGTCTTTAATTTGGTATAGGGTCGTACTACGCAGCTTGAATTCATAGTGATTTTCCTGTTTTCAGCTCCCCTATTGCTGGGATCACAGACATGCCCAGCACCCCACCTCCCACCCTCCCCACCCTAGCACTCTTGTGTTGGTGGCCAGGTCGGCAGATCCAGGGCAGAGCTGGCACAGTATGTGGTACTGGGGAACAAACCTGGGTCCTTATGCTTATCTGGGCAGGTGCTTAGACTGCTGAGGTATCTTTTCAGCCTATTTTTTTTTTTTATTTTATTGTTTTGTGGGAAGCAACAAGTTATATTTTCAATAATATAAAAACTTTTATTTAGTTGGTGATAGTTTGGTTATTTTCCCAGAACAACATGTTTTCTTTCTTCATTGGGTCTTCTAATTCAATACACAGTTTGGGGGGTATTTCTTACAGGTTTTACAGTATTGAATTACTATACTTTTCCTTTCTAAAAATACAGTAATATCTGAAAGTAAGTAAACCAAGTACAAAAAATTATACTTGAAAATTTCATTTTATTCCCTTCCTATACCTTTTCTTTCTCAGACTACTGGACCCATGCAATTACACAGCTTTCATCTAACTAAAATTGCTATAAGAATATACAAGCATTAACATAACTGATACGCTTTCCTCAAGGATGTGTAAAATTTTAATGTGATCTTACTTTCCTAAAGATTGACCCTATAAGAGGAGGAGGAGGAGGAGGCTCAGTAGAATAAGCACTTCCCTGGAAAGTGCAAGGGTCTGAGTTCAATCCCAAGTTCCACCAAAAAATAAATAAATAAAAGTAGTATAACATTGGTCTGAGGGCTGGGGAGATGGCTCAGTAGAATAAGCGCTTGCCTGGCAAGCACAACAAGCACAAGGACCTGAATTAAATTTCCCAGTTCTGCCAAAAAAAAAAAAAAAAAAAAGACTGTCCCTATAAGAAAATTACAGAAGTTGCCTACTTATTGCATACGACTTTTTAAAATGAAAATGTTAACAACATGAGTATAAGAAATAATACAATCAGCAATATATACCACCTAGATGCTCTCAATTTGGCACATTTACTTGAACTACTTAAAGAAAACTCACACATGTATGCTCATGTGCACATCCACAAAGGTGGAGAACCCACATTACCTTCTGAAACTGCCTCAATTTCATTGTGTTTTTGTTTGTTTGTTTTTTTTTTTTTTTCTTCAAAAATCACTACATTGATATTGGTGTCTATCATTCCTACACAAAATGTTGCATTATGTATTTAAAAAAAATAAGTACAATTACACTGGTGTATCATTCTGTAACTTGTTTCTGTCATTCCATGTTTTAACACAGCTAATGTTGCCATAAAGTAGGTGTAATTTTTTCATTTTACCTAACGAACAATGTTCCACTGTATAAAAGTAATATTTATTTATAACCTACTATTGACAGAAACTTAGGACTCACAATATTTTGCTGATTTCCTTGTGTGTACAAGTCAGGTTTTCTTGAGGCTGTTAGCTTCAGTTTCCTTGACCATGACTGACCCAGTTGAAGGGCATGGGATTCCAGGGCATGCGCTGAGGGACTGTCCCTGCTCTCTCCCCTCTCCCCTTGGGTTCTCTCCCTCTGCTTCCTGATGCCTGTGAGGTGAGTAGCTGTCCTCCACCACCAGGTGCTGCCTTCGTACAGGCCCACAACAATACAAGCAGCTGCCCAAGGACTCAAACTTTCAAAATTGTGAGCCAAAATAATTCCTCTTCTAAGTTAATTTTGCTGAGTATTTAGTCACAATAATGGAGAACTAATATAACAGTTAAAAATGAGCAAAGGAACTTCATAGACAGAAGAGAAGCACAAAATGACCAATAAGTACATGAACATGTAAATCAACATTATTAGGGAAATGCAAATCAAAGCCCAACTGAAATTAGTTTTGACAGCTGTTAGGATAGTCTGAAATTTTCTCACTACATCTGATACTAAATATATGAGTTTTTTCCATACCAAAAACCAGTTCTCCAACTCTCCAGACACTACCTGGAAATCCTATGATTATACTAATTTCTCATACCACCTGAAGGTCTGACAAGACCCCACTAGTTATGGGTTCTGTCCCACAGACTTCCCTTACTTCATGTGCCTCCCCTAATTCTGACTAGCCAGTTATAGTCAAGGTGTCCCCAAAACCTCAAGATTGGTAATTTGCTAAAATAGCTCACAAAACATGAGGAAATTATTAACAGTTTGTTGTGATGTAAAGTGTACAGTTTAACAGTTTGTTATAATTAAGTCTTTTTATCATGCAAAAAGCTCTCACACAGTCAAATGGAAGAGATGATTTGAGCAAAAAAGGGAGCAGTGTTCAGGCTCTCTCTGGGTATGCCACACTCCTAGTACCTCAATGTGGTCACTAACCTAGAAATTCTCAAACCTTGTGGCTCATGGGCTTTGCTTGGCTTTGTGGTACTGGGAATTGAATTTATGGCCTTCACACTGAGCTCCAAACCCAGCCATTTCGCACTCTGAGATAAAGTCTTGCTAAGATGCTTAGCATAGCCTTGATCTTGTGACCCTCCTACCTCAGCCTTCTGAGCTGCTAGAATTAAAGGTGTATGCCACACACCAAGCTATTTGGGGGTTTATACAGCGGCTTCATTACATAGCATAATTGAATAAATGGTTGACTATCAGTGACTACAGTCAATCTCTAGCCCCTTGTTCTTCTCCCATCCCCAAAAGGCTGGAGGCAGAGCTGAAAGTTCTAACCTTGTAATCAATCACATCTCCTCTGGCACATAACATCCTCCCTGAAGCTAAGCAGGGGAAAAAGTCATCTTGTGGGGACTCGGTGGTCTCTAAGTGTAACCAAAGCAGAAATGGCAGCAGGAATCAGGAAAACAGACAAGAAGATCAGAGCAGGGTTCAGGTAGAACCTGTCTGCTTGACTGGCAAAGGACCCTCCCAACAAAGTATCACAAGACACAAGGTTGCCTAGTAACGACTCAAATTGTCCAGGCAGGATGCCTTTCTCAAGACTGAGGTAGCTTGACTGCTTTAGGCACTGTGGCCTTCTCCTGCTCTCACACACATGAACAATTTCCAACTTCAGCCACTCCCTACATCATCTTATTACAGGAAAGTCAGGTTTGGTTGAAAGGGACTTATGATGAATAACAAAAGATTCTTTAACTAACCCTAACATTCAGGAAATTCCAAGGCTCTTAGAAATTATGTGGAATCAGGGACAATTGTCAAATACATATTTTCATTATCATAGGTGACATTTTTAAAAAATAGAAGATAACAAATATTGGTGAAATGGTGGATAAATTAGAGCAGATATTTAGAATATTTTACATTGCTGTGAGAATGAGCTGCTGTAGAAAACTTTAAAAAAAAAACCAAAAAAACTAGTAGATGACCAACAATTCTACTCCTAGGTCTATAAGTAAAAGAACTGAAAACAGGAATTCAAGCAGTTGCTCTACATCAGCATTCACTGCAGCATTATTCCTAACAGCTGAAAGGTAGAAGCAACCAAGCATCTATCACCAGATGAATGGGTAAACAAAATACGGTATATCCGCACAATTAAATATTATTCAGCTATTAAAAAAAGTTACAATGCATGGCACAACCTGGATGAGCCTTAAAAATGTTATGCTAAGGGGGGAATAAACCAGACATGAAAGGAGATACAGTGCATGTTACGATTTATAGCTAGGTCTCCCCACAAAGCTTCATGTGCTCCTAAATGGGGCTTCTGAAAGGTGAATCAATTACAGCAGGGGCAGTAGAGGTGATCTGCTCTTAGGATGTGGGGTTTGGTGGGAGAAATGCTGGGGAAATGACTTGGAAGGACGTATTTCCTTCCCTGCTGGTCCCCTCTTTTTCTGTTTCCTGGATACCAACTGACACCAGCAGCTTTCCTCTGTGTCTAACCTTTCCACAATGCCACCAACCATGCAGGGACTGAAACTTTTAAACTGTGAGCCCAAATAAATGTCTCCTCCTGGGGACCAAGTCCCAGCAAGGAGAAAGTGACTACAACACTGGCCTTGCTGATCACTAATTTTATCTCCCAGTCACTAATTTTTACCATAGCTTCTGAAAAATTCAATCCCTAGTAGATGAACTATCCCACCTGGTGGCAGAAGGCTTCCTCCTAAGATTTACTTAAGGGAAACTGATATTTCTCTATAATTAATCTCCTTTTACCTTGGTACTACATGCATCTTTAGGCTTCTCAACACGCTTTTCCAATTGCAGTCCTTACTGTCCACTCGCCATCCCTGCATTGAACAGCCTCATTCACTCACTGAGATCTTTGAACCTCTTTACCCTAAGCCCTGCCATAAACTTTGGTGGACAGCCTAGACCGTAGGATGGGTCTTCTCAGCACTGATGTTCTAGGTTCCATGGCCACACTGTCATCCATTGCCAAGCCCGCATTTCCACAATTTTTAGGCCTACTATTTCTACCTTTTAACCTTGGAGCTTTCCCACACCTTATTACCTCTCACTAAATAGACAATCTGTCTCCTAATTTAGAAATCAAATTTCTAATTTAGGCAATATCTAACTTAGGCAGTATCTCCTATTTCATCTCTACACTAAATAATATCTATACCTTTTAGTTTTCTCCAAGCTCAAGAGGTGATCTTGTCTTTTATCTTAGAGAAACGTGCTTTATTTCCTGTGTCTGATACCTGTAATTATCTCCTTTAGGGTCCTCTCCATCTATATAAACATCTCCTTCACTGACCCCACATTCTCTTTTAAGTATTACTAAATGTTTCCTATTATTCTCATGCAAATTTCTTTAAAATGGAGACTGTTATGGTTTGTGTATGGTT